AGCATAAAATATGTTTATCTAATGTTTGCAAGACAAAGTTTAAGACAGCCAAATTATTGGATGCATAATCAGAATTATGAACCCAAGAATAGCACCTGAGTATAGGTAGAGAATTATGTAAGACCCAAACTACATTTATATAAAAATCCTTATGTAAAAAAAACTTACTGCAAATAAGACTTTGAGGTATTTTTTCTGTGAACAGAAGTGTACAGTTTAAGATCAACTAATAACTCAGTGTTAGTTAACAGTGAATTGAGGTTGCCAGTAGCAAGAAAAGCCATTCCAAATTTCATCAGTGGAAACCCTGATACTACCCAGAACATGGGAGGTAGTATCGTCATAATATTCTGTGTTAGTCACATAGTTTGTGCCTATTGTGAACGTTTTGAGAGTCTCCATATTAAGAGACACATTAACTGCCTGCAGTGAGTCTGGACTAAAGGGATCAGAATAGAGAAATATTTGGAAACGATGATATATGTAGAATAATAGGGGGACTGAGAATATTTAGCATGTTAAAAGCTTGCTGTCTTAAAATTTTAAAGTATTTTACTGGGAAATATAGAGTGTATTATTTGTATAATATGTCACTCAGATGTCAAAATTAAAACTACTGGTAAACTATATAGGTAAGCAGAAAATGACTTGTATAAGGAAAACACTTATAAGAACTTTAACAGTTGTGGTTGTTCAGATGTGTAATGCTACATCCTGTTAAGCATTCAAACAGTAAATTCTGAGTCTAGAGAATAGAGTCATCTCTCAGGTGTATCTGAATTTACTGAGAGATGAGGATGGTAGTAGGTATGTGCTCTTTTTAACTTTAAATTATATGAACTATTTCTCTTTCCATTTTTCTGTTATCTATCACTGTTCACTATTATGAAATAATGATGTATGTACATGTGTAACATATATAGTACATAATAAATGTACTTTAGCCATCTCAATAATTTTATTTTAAATAATTTTGCAGAAGGGAATAATGGACAAGGATGATTACAGGAAATACTATAGCATTTTTCCAACAAAACTTGAAGAAACAAAGGCAAAATGTTTTTCTTTCTCTTATTTTCCAGAACTTTTTGATATGGGAAGAATTCTCATGCAGCCCATTTCATAGGTCTAAATTAGGGCATTTGTGAATGTGAGGAAAGTATTTTTTTTGTTGGCACAATGACTAAAAGATAACACTAGGATTTCTTGGGTAGTTGTCAGGGATGCTAAGTATCCTGTCCCAAATGCTAACTGTGCCCCCCCCCATCCATTAAGAAACACTGTAGGGAATGCTCCACCTCAAGAACTGACTTTTGCTTCATTTAGTCGTTCAGGAACAGTAATATTGGCTAGTTTTGTCCCAGTTATGTGTGTACTGATAAGCAAGTAAGCCCTTAGCCAGTGCCCAGGACAGATGCGTTGAGGGTGGGGAGGACTCGGGGACAGAACTGTATAAACATCCTTTGCCAATGTCAGAACTGGGCTTCCTCACATCCAGTGGAAAGTGCCCTTCTTGTGGATGGATTTGTCAGTAGCTTTCTTCTTCCTTGGGGAAGTTTGGGAGGACTTGGGAATTTGTACTTCCACCTGGTAATATGTTATATCCTCTCCTTATTAATTCAATGATCTCTCTAAAAATCTTTATTCTTTTCCTAAAAAATGTATGTCCCTTAATTATACCTGCTGGTGTCTTAACACTGTCACATCACTGTCCCTCTGGCTAGCCTGAATCACTCAGGGTGAGAACTAACAGAATCAGTATAAAGACATTTTAAAAGGCAAGATTTCTTCTGAAAAGATAGGTAAATGTCTATGAAACTATTATTGGAAGTATTAACTCATTAAATTCCAATTATTCATTCTACTTCGTTGTTCAGCTGAATAGAGACTAGGGCTGAAATGCCGCAGTGTGTTCGATCACTATCAGTTTGATCTCTGGAAACTTATTTTAATACCTCGTTGACTCAGTCATATAATTGTAAGGTAGAGATAGTAGTTGTTAAATATTTTTATAAAGATCAAGACATTTTACAATAGAATTTTTAATGCTATACAAAAAGTAAAATTTTATTATTAAAGACAGACAGTTTTAGATTGTTCAGAATAACTCAACAGCTGTTTGGTGGCTTTGCTTTCTCATTTCAAGATGCCAAATGTGTAAATAAAACTCCTCGGAATTATGGAATTATCCTATAGTAATTTCAGATATTGTTGTAAAAAAAGATGCATGTCTACTAATGCACGCAAACTAGCCCAGTAAAAGAAAATACAGTACATGTTAAACCTGCTAACCTTGGGCTTCCTCCTGTCAGAAGCAGCACACACACACACACACTCACATACACACAGTTCGTGATATTGTAAAACTCTCATTGAAATTCAGGTTATAATAGTAAGCAGTATAGAATAAACCAATGAAATCCATTCAGAGCACAGAAAAAGCAAATAGACAAAACACCAGGCTCCAGCATTGTCAAAACTGTACTGCTGAGTTAAGAAGTCAGGCAAGAAAATCAATTTTCTCTAACACATGAATTAAATGAATAAAAACTCAATATGAAGACAGAGGAAAAATAACTTAGCATTACTGAACCAACCCAAAGATGCCCACATAAAGGGAGGGAGAAACAGTGTTCATCTACATGTTTTTTACTTACTTTATTCAATAGACATTCATTAAGCAACTACTTATGACTAGAAATAACATTTGGCATTTGAAATTCAGAGCTGCTTCTAATATGCAGCTTCTGTTTCACTAGAAGTGTAAACATATGAGCAAATAGAACATGGCAGAGTTTTTAATAGAGAATAAGATTCATAGGAAACAATTTTAAGAGGCACCTAATCTGGATTGGGAGCGCCTGAGGAGGGATTCTTGGAAGAGGTGACATCTATGTTAAGATGTAAAAACTAACAGTGCATTAGTCAGGTGAAGTGGTATGAGCATCAGGCAGAAAAAATGACAAGGGTACAGGTGAGTGGTGAGAACCTGCTGGCTTGTAATGCAAATTTGAAATAATTCAGCATTTAAAGCATAAGATGAACTCCTCACAAGAGATGAGGTTTGAAGTGTTCATAGATAATGATGTGTGCCTTTTTAAGTATTGTGAAGGTGATGGTGAGGAAGGCATTTAAGGATCTTTAGTGGAGAATTGATCTTGTTAGATAAAACTCTGATCACCATCTTGGTACAGTTGATATGAGAATTTTCCAAATGTTGCATGCAGATCTCATTTAGCATAAGAATAATAGTAAATAGAGAAGATGAAAGCTGTACTTTGGTACTACCTATGTTTTGATTAAAGGTATAATACAAGGTTAGAAACCAAGATCTTCATATGTACTGCTAACACAAACCGTGAAGTGATGGAAAATATTATGCTTTGAATTACTAACCTTTTTTCTAGACCATCTTACTGCCAGAAGAACTTGCAATTCCACATGTAAAAGTTTATGAAATCATGACTATCAATCTGAAGAAGCAGTCAGATTAATACGACACCGATTGGATTAGCTAATAGTCGTAAATATACATCTCAGAACTGAGAGGCAGAAAGCTTTGTTGTATTCTCCAGGACACAGAAGGATGTTCTTTCCTTTGTCCCTGTCTTCTTATAGGACTTAGTTCTCCTCCCTCTTTAGACCATGAGCTTCTTAAAAAGCTTGTTCATTGTGAAAGAAAGAATAACCAGAACATGTGAGCACTGCCAGCTGTGCTCCTCTTTATCATGTTATTTATCAGATAAACCACAACTTGTCAAAGTCTAAAACATATGATGAGAGGCTCAAATCCCATACACTCTAACTACTCTTTTGGTACTTCTAAGGAAAATTTTGTGCTTTGAAAGAAACATGGAACATGCAATAAATCATAGTTAACCAGAATATTTTAAGGAAATGATTTTAGTTGTTGGAATTTCTGGGGTTTTTTTTCCATCCTCAAATGATACACGTTCCCACCCCCAGTCCCCCACCCAAACCCTACTATTTTAATTTTAAAACCTTATTACAAATTATTTGAAATTATTCTGCCAACTCTTATGGTTCAGCCTGCACAGGATAGGAATTCTATGACTATGGAGTGAAGCATTCTTTGTCCATTCACCATCTGGTAGGTTACATGGTCTGTACTTCAGAGATTCAGCTAAGTCACACTGCACCTACGACATACACCGAATCCTTCCTTTTAAGGGGGGCATTATTGATTTTGTTGTCATTTGTTTGCTTTCTTTAACTGTCACTGTTCTGTAAATAATGCTGATTATTAATCTATAGTTTTTAAGTATATTTGTTGCTATGCCGTATTGACCTGATACTCAGAATAATAAAAACACAGCTTGCCTGTCTATAGAAGGGATTTAAGAGTAGTGTGGTAGTCATAGTCCAGAATTACTGATGGTAATCCCTTCAAGTAAACAGATGGTTTGCATTCATAGCTCTCTGGATGTTAAGAAGTAAATCTCCACTAAATTTGAAAACTGTCTTTTCTTGATCGGGAAAGGTCTTTTGTGGAATAAAAGAGATTATACTTCCTCTTTAGAAAGGACCACTTTTGAATTAACTACAAAATCTTCTACAAGAACTTTCTGCCTAGAGTGTGCTGACATAGAGCACAGAACCTCTGCATACTTGCTATGTGAGATTTTCTGGCCTCCCCATGTGATATGACTTTTGTGTTTGCAAGCATTTTAGAACAAGTTGAGTATTTTTTCATGGAAATGTAGTTTATTTACGATCATCAGTGCCTGTTCTGTGACATCTTATATCGTCTTATAGCCCTTGTATGCATATTTTGCCTTAGTTTTAGTTCCAGCCAATAGCATCCCGATCTCCCCATTACACTCCCAGTTTACTATCACAGTTTAACTGAAAAATGAGCAAAAGTAAGTGAAGAAAATAAAGAAAGCATTTAGGTCAAATCAGATCAGACTATCTTGCAATCTTAAAGTCATATGTATATGGCAGCAGGGGTTTTGAGAACAATTTTTTTTTCTTTGCAGACAATGACTGATGGCCTAGATAGCTATCCCCCATCCATCTCTACTCTTTTGGAAAGATTACCTTAGTTACTTTGATGTGCGTGTGGAAGTTTGGGGCGCTTATCCACAGGTAGAATATTCTTTCCTGTAGTATTTCTTACATATACATGTGCTAAATGATGCAGTGCCTTATGTCAAAAGATAATAATACAAATTTAGAGCTGAGCAGAGATATAATTTAAATAAGCAATCAAGTTGAGTATTTTTTTGAGGAGCAGAATCATGCCTCTATCCTAAAACTAGTTCATCATGAAAAATGTGGGCTTTTTTACTTTACTCATGTAAACAAATTTTATCATTCATAATAAAATATGCAGAAAATATATGATGAGAGCTGGTCCGTTTTGATAGACCAATAAATAACTAACATTGTGCAATGAAAAATGAGGACAGTTCATCAGGAAGAAGTACTTTCAATGGCATATTGTGGGCAAAAAACAAACAAACTTGTTTTCTAAAGCTACTCCACATGCTACAGACTAATTTATTATTGCATTATTATTTCCCTCTAGAATTTGAAGTAGTGTGGTTGGAAAAGATTTTATACTTATCAGGAGTTCTAAATCCTTAAATTTTCAGTGCTTTGCATTTTCAATTCTTTATATACTAAGAGGAATAAAATGTTCCAAGCTCTCTCCTTATTTTTATTTCTGTTCAGAGATGCTGCAGGAGCTGTCACAAAGAGGATTATCCAAACATGTGCTGAATTTAAAGCATGTATATGGATAAAGAGATATATGATTCAAGAAGAAAGAACAATACCTCCTTTATGAATGTGTTTTTATCACTATAACTGATTCCATGCAATCATTATTATGCAGATGAGTTGGAAGCAGCTAAATATTGTGGGCTTCTACCACAACATAATTAAATAAACACATTGTCCTTTGTGTTTCCAGGAAAGTGGCTGTAGAACTGCAGCCTTTGGCAGTCCTCCAGGGCTGGTGGGCGTCTGGGGCAGGGTATTTTTGTTCTCTGATGAATGAGAACCACATTTGACAAATGGTCTTACACACTGAAGTGTGAGGGGGGAAAAAAGATATGGCTCAATATGCATTAGTTCAAATTAGTTCTTTGTAATACAGTGGTATGTTATCCCAACAATATTTTGTGAAATACCCTGGCTATATAATGAGGCACATGTTTTCGATTGTCACACCATGTCTTAAAATATGGCAAGAACACAGTATAAGAGTGTCCAGAACAAAATCTTTTACTTGTGTCTGGAAGTGCAACAACTGGGACAAAATGTGAAGTTAGATAAAAAGAGATGAAAGTGGGGCAGGTTGTAAAGTAGGGACAACTTTGTAGGGAGGCAACAGATTTAATTCCAGAATGAGACCAACAATATGACCAAAATGTCTGTCAGTCTTCAGACAAGACAAAAGAAAATGTTCCAAATAATGACCCAGAAGCCATGTGAATACAAAGTTGTTTCTCAGTGATTTATGTGAAGACATCCAATTGCAACATAAATCAAGTAAGAATAACCCTGAAACATGGGAATGGTAAATTCTTCACCCTCTCTTCAGTCTTCTTAGAACCCGGACCACTTAGCCATTACTTAGAAGAGAGATCTTTGATGTTGGTGAGATTGACATTTTGGGGATATTGGTTGGTGATATTCCTCTAGATAATTCTTTGTTGTGAGAGTTGTTCTGTGCATTGTTGGATGTTTAGTAGCATCCATGGTGTCTACTCACTAAATGACAGTACCACACCCTCAAGTTATGACAGCAGAAGATGTTTGCAGACATTGCTATATGTTCCTGGAGGCTAAGTGTACCTCCTGTTGAGAACCACAGGTTTAAAGTCTCTATCTGCCTCGAATACTACATCATTCCTAGGACAGACAGCTTAAAGGGATTGTGTATTAACATTATCGGTTTTAGCAACAAATCATGATTCTTTATAGACTAGTGTTGAGACTGTGTTCAGCTTCATGAAAATCAGACTCCAACCTATGCTTCATTTTTTTTTTTGAAGTGGACTTCTCCAATATCTCTTATGTCTGTGTCTCTATACTATTAATCTGAAAACTATTCCACCATTCTGGTAAAGAAATAATTCCCTTACTCTTACTAGGTGTTATTCTTCTTTCTTTCCAAGAATATAGTAGCTTTCCCTCCCATGTACTCCAGTCTAATAGTTGCCATTTAGATATTTGATAAATTCATCTGAAATCGCTGGCTTCTTTACCTGAAATCCAAAATAGGACATATATTTCACAATATGACCGTGAGTAGAGCTTTATGCTTTCTCCAATGAGAAAAATAAAGAGATTTATTGTCAAGAACCAAGTGAAGAATGAGAACATCTACATCTAGCCTGACCAAGGCTAAGTCATAATGCACTCAAGGCAGAGATTGCATTAGGTCACAGATGTTCCTTTTTGGGACCAGAAGTAAAATTATTGAGCAAATTTATGAAGACAGGTGTGTGAGTAGTTTGTCATACAATTTTCTTCTGGTAACCCTAGAGCTTTTTGTTGGAGTGACTAGTGGAGAACCATATATATGTTATCAGGATGAGCCCTTAACAATGTCATCTGCAATTAAGGACCCTTCTGTCCATTGCATCTACATCTTCTGGAAGAACACCTGCTGGTATAAGTGGATTTTTCGAGCATTTGTTACCGAATTTGAAGGAGAATGGGTATAAGAAAAGGTTTTTTCACATCTTTAATTGGAATGTATAGTTGTTTGCTTGGGTAAAACATCCAGTAGGCTTCAAAACAACTACTGATACTGTCTTACTTCCCCCTGCATGTTCTATTCCTGTCTCCTTCACTACTTAGCCCTCCACTGATGACCAAACTTTGTACTCAATTGAGAAATTAGATCTAATCAGACATTTACTCTTTCGCCTTCCCATTACAAAACTGTCAACTCAACCTGCATCTGTAATCACTTACACTGTCTGATTTTCCTTTACTTACTTTGAATAAAGTATCTCTCTTCCAATTAAATGTGTCAGGTGTGACCTGCATTCTACCTTCTCAAAATGTGACCTCTGTAATTAGCCACTTCTCTCCTATTCCTCTAGGAAGGTAAAGACAGCCTGAACTAAGATTATCTGTGGAATCACAAAGAGTGAATAGATGAGAGATGTGGTGGAGGAACATCAATAGAAATTACTAATTGATCTAATTTGGAAAATAAAGGAGGAAAATACAGTGAAGATTGCAGCACGTTTTCTAAATAAGTGGAGAGATGCCATAGATTTATAATGATATATTGATTTGTGTTTACAAATATAAATATTTGTAAATATAATGATTTGTGTTTACACACTTCTTTTTTGTATCAGCTGTACATCATGGCCTGGGAAGAAGGCAGTGAAAAAGGACCAGTGAAAGCTACCAATGGAGGCAAGCCATTAATTAATATGGTAATAAGTTAGTGAAGTAAAAAATAAAATAAAATAAAAAATCAGCATCCACTCCTATTTGATCAGTCTCTGTGACTGAATGACCATACATCAATTTCTTGGGACAGTATGGGTTTGAAACTGGGCCATTTCTCCTGAGCATACGTATATCAAATTACTGGTTGAAGGCTTGACTTAGAAAATGTTGGTATTCTATCTCAAATAGACTCAAGCTCAACTTTTAAAAGTGTTTATAATCTAACATGTTCTGAATCTGCATTCTAAAACAATTCAGGCAATCAAACATTTTAATAAAGACCCCAAGATGTGCTGAATGCACTGTTTTTTCACATTTCCTCACACTATAATATATATCCATGTATGCTTTTCTCAATCTGAAACCTGAATATAAAAATGTGAACAATTCTCTTTCTAAAATTAATATGACTTGAGATTACTAAAATTATTAAAGGAATGTAATTAGCCTTTAGGCTTATGTAGAGTAGAGATGATCACATCATGACTAACAAAGTTTTCTAGGTCTTAAACTGCTTCTTAGCTCTTTCTTCAAGATTTTAATTTCTTCCTCACTTGCATGTTCAGGAAATTTTATGTTTGTGTGTGTGTGTGTGTGTGTGTGTGTATGAAACACTGAAGTTCTGCATAAAGCCAGTTTTAAAAAATTAATTTATGTTCTTTGAAAGAGTCACAATAGCAAAGCAATTAGCCATGTCTTTGTAAAACTGTGTTTGTTATTTCTTATATTTTGGCTCTTGGTTTGGCACAAAAACTTCGTGGAATAAGTGCTCTCTAAAACATGATTCCCTTGGAAGTTTCTTTAAATACAATGAATTATAACAATAATTTCAAACTATGTCATAACTCCAAATTTTCCGGTAATAAGATATACATATTAGCTATAACCACATAAGATTCTGCTATAATAGTATGTTGAAAGAATTACATTCTTTAAAAATGTATTTATCAAAATAGGTCACAATTTAATTTTTATATTTCTTTTGTAACTAAGAGGCCTAGTGACTGCGGTTCTTAGCATTAATTTTTATGAGAGTAATTTCTTCACCCCCAACTCCATATATAAAAAGTATCAAGAATAGAAATCCTATTCAGTTTCGTTCTCTCAGTCATCCTGTTAAAATGGCATGAATTGCGCTTACAGTTTTCCAAGCAAGGATTATCAGGTACACTTGTTGGTCTCAGCAAAGCAACGGAAGAAGAGTTAGCATGTAGTGATCTGACAATTAGAAGATAGAGATTTGTTTCTGCCTTCATCACTTACTCATTTTGTCACTTGAGTATTATTCCTTCTCTAGGAGCCTTTCCATCCACAGAATATCTTGTTTAGTCCAGTGTATCCTAGTGATCTTCAGGAAATATTAAACGATGATGAATGATGAAGGTAAATCTCCTTACCTATTGGCTACAGAAGGTGCTGTGTGATTGAATAAACAAAAGGCTTTGAAATTATGGATGGGGCTTTTTTTTTTCTTTTTCCTAGCGATATTCAGTGTCTTATTCTCTGTTTAATTAGGAGCTGGACATACTGTAAAATATACTCAGAGATAGTGGACATCTGTGTCTTTCCCTGATGTGCTTGCTATCTAAAGCTGTTCTTCGTTTTCTTCTGCTATGTATCCTACTGTTTTTACAGAAAGTATTCTCTTTGTATGAAGAATAGCAAGTACAAAGATAGTATAACTTTTCCTATGCTGTAAGGTTTTTCTAAAGTTGTCTTTCTCTAATGATAATATTCTTTGGGATGGATCATCTTCCAAAAACAAAAAATAAGTTCATAATTGGTGAATATGGTTGGCTTTTTTAGAAGTAAAATCGTTTCAAAGGTTGCTGGGCAAGCCCCTAAACTTAGCACATCTCTGAAATTCAGCCCACATTTTAAAATAAATGTACTTAATGTAAAATTTGAAAATACATAAATCTATATTAACCATCTGTAGAATCTTTTTAAATAGTTGTTATTTTGCTCTATTTTATGTGAAGCAATTCTTTCAACCCTACTTTATACTCTCAAGATAATGAGGTCCATGTTTTTAACTTATCTCAATTCTTACCTTTTTGTAGGAATTTATTATTTGACCAACAGTAGGGGAGAGCCATTCTTTACCAAAATGCAGCTATCTGATATTTATTGAAATAAACATTAATTTCTGATACTGTTTCTCAGTATAAGAAGAATTGCTATCACTCTGTGTCTCTACCTACCCTTTCCTTTGTGCTTGTTTTTAATTATGTTAACTTTTGCCTTTGGCATGTAATATGTTTTCTCATTTTAAAATTAGTTTTGATGTTTATTTACTGATGATACTTGTACACAGAAATACCACACTGCAAAAATATTCAGCAGACAGTGAAAAGATTTGTAAGTCTTCCTGGAGAGTTAATAGTTGGAACTCAGAAATAGTTAGATCTTACAAATAACAAGCACTTTTCCTATTTCTACTATACTTGAGAGAAGACTTCATTTTAAATGCATAGGACAAAGTCTGTTGTATGCATTAAACCAGTTTTATGACAACAGGGAATCTTTGTGGACCTAAAAAAAAATCAATAAAATATTTATAAGAAAAAACAGCTAGTGAGAACATGCAGTTCCTGGTTATCATTCCATGTTATAGGTGATGGCTTCAGCTATTTTCAGATTGCAAAATACAATTTATTACTATAAAATCTTCTTTATCACAGCCAAGCTCTTTCCAAATTGACACAGATTATTGCCCTTCAAGGAGGTAATGCCCATCTCCACTCAGAGCGCAAACGGTTAATGTTCAGCACTTGGGGCCAACTTGGCTGACATGAAAGAGCCCCTGGAGTGGTAGTGGGTCTTTTCTGGTGATCTGTGTATCCTTGCACTTAGGTTCTAGAATGCCAGAAGTACTTCAGATTTGAATTTATTTTGTTACTGGGCTTAATGCACCCACTTGAATATTTAGATGAGTCACTTTTTTGTCAAACAGATTTGTCTTTTGAATATCAAGCACTTAAAAATAGTGCTGATAAATAGGCTATGGATAAAATTATGTTCTGCTTTATCAGAGTTTTTTATTTTTTCTACTTATTCTGGAACTGCTAAGATTCGAATAATTCTTCACATCCTTTCTGGCCTGGAACAAGTATAGATAAATGTGAAATTGACCTTGATTTTACTTGGCTGGGTTTTCATGGCTGTCATATATGGCCATGCAGCTGGGGCACTGCATAACTTCAAGGAGGATTGGTCACTTCTAGTCTTATCCTGTATCTGGATATTGCACATTTGGCACAACTGTACACAGAGGCCCTACCACAGGTAGATACAAAGCAAGTAAGGAGTTTGATTAAACCGTCACTAAAACTGCGTGGTTGGTTAAATGAGTTAATCAGACCCCTACCTGTTTTGAATTGCCTTCTTAATGGTTTCTGATCTTAGGCTATAAGAGCAAGAATTGACTTAAGAGTTCCTCTAGTTCAGATCAAACTCTTTGCCATACAGGAGTAAACTCAAGCCCCTACTCACCAAGGGGCTGAACTAAGTCCTATAGGTAGGTAGTGGTTGTCAGAACTAGATCTAAAATTCAGTCTGTAGACTTCTTTTCCAGTGATCTGTTTTCAAAACTCTATGCCAGCTCTCTTATCTTATTAATATGTTGACAGCCACCTCTCCCTTGATTGTAAGAGACATCACAGGGAAGTGACCTTACAATAATAGAGTTGTGGTTTTAGTCTCTCTTGAAGTCCATTCTTCTATAGGGATTCCACAGTTTTGATCTTGGCTTGTTAACCTCATTAGCATTGATTCACAACACCTGTGCCTGTGGTTTGTTGGGGACCTAGTGTGTATGACTTCTTTGTACCAGAGCCCACCACCAATAATCATTTCTCCTGTGACCTAATGGAATGTGAAGAGATAGGAATAGTGAATCTGGAATCACGTATGGATGTTGAACAGGTTATTATAAAGATTTTGCTAATATACACAATTTATAATATTTCATGCAGTAGAGATTTTAGACAAAAGGTGAAGGAATGGCAAATGAAGTTAATTCTCTTTTCTTTTTCTTTTTTCCTAGTGAGGTTGTTGGGGTTTTGTTTACTTTCCTAATGAGATGGTGATTTACATGTTTTAGAGAACCACTTACTCTGTGCCCTGTGCGCATGGATTCAGCCTTGCAAATCCGAGCTGGAGGCATGCATGAGTCCAGACCAGATGTGTGCAGCTGGGCAAACGTCTTTGCCATTGCTCTTCCTTGGAATGATAATCCATATGCCGGGATTTCAAATCAGTTTAATACACATTTTCTTGATTAATGGAAAATGGCAGAGTGTAGGAGACTGAAACAGTTCGTGCTTTGCTTGATTAATTAATAAGGGACTCTCTTTTCCCAGCTTCGACTCATTATGCTAATGAAGTGTCATCAATTAAGGCTTTCCCTTGATTATTGAATCTGTCAGGTAGTGCTCAGTAAAAATACTGCATTCCTTTGCTGTCTGGGTGGAATTGCCATTGCAGATTTTTATGAACTGCTTCTTCCATTAGCTGCTGTTTATTCTATTTTCTCATTATTATATCTTTTTCTTGACCTTAAGAGAAGTGATTATGGAAAGCTTGGAATGAACTGGAAAATATTATCTTTGGAAATATGGGTCAAGAAAATGTGTTAATAGAAAAATACACACCATTCTTCATTCAGAACTTATTTGTAATTTATTAATGATATAGTAAAAATTTAATCAAAAGAATATATTGAACTTTCTGAAGTAAGTCTTTGGCATTGTCATCAGATTACATAAGCAGTTCAGAAATACATGGTCTTAATCATTTCTCACCCTACTATTCAAATTAAATTTTAAGAGGAAATTTTTTCCCCTAAGGGAAATATCCTGAGAACAAAAGGGTACATATTTAAATGATTTATTCTCTTTATGAAAAGTCCTAATTTGCTTACAAATATTATTTAGATTTGAATCCACTTAAAGATGACAAAAATGTGGAAAGAGTATAACCAAGTACAGCCTCTAGATTAGGTTTAGGAAACAAACATTTGTATATTGTCTTAGTGGCTTTTGCTTCGCAGCACTGAAGTTGAGGCTTTCAGTGTAGAACAGTTTTGTACACTCGTGCTATCTAATCCTCTTATTAGGGAACACCTTGACTGTAAGATTAGGTAGGTAGTCCCCAATAGTGAGGGACTGTTAAACCACTTATAAAGGTTGTAAGTGATAGAAGATCTGAGTAAAACATTTACAGTCATCCATCTCATCTGCTTTTATTAACCGTCAGTAATAATGAATTCGTTTAATTTTCTCATTTCACTTTACCTGAAGTAAAAAATACCTTTATTATTTTATGGTACATTTCTGTACTGTAAAATTCTTTTTTTCTTTTTCAACTAATGGTATCATCTCTTTAATTAATTGATCAATTTCTCAGTTTCTCTGACCATTCATGGCTATTTTTCTAGAGATTTTAGATATAAATAAATGGAGAGGTAAATGGGATACTCTACTACTTGTTTTTAGGGAATACTCTTTTATTCTGGTGCTATGAGTTTTAAAATCAGAGGAAGACATCTGATAGTGCTTGTTGCTGAGTATATTGATTCTTAGTAACCTCCATTAGTCATACTAAAGTTAACTTGTTTTTTAGAGAGCAGTTATTTTCTTTGCTTTCAGGAGGAATGTTTCCAGTTCATTGGAACCCTAGATGTGTTGTGTCTTTGGGTTACATCTTTAACTCCTTCTCTGTGTCTCAAACCTGTAACTGCACTACAAAAAGACTGATCCATAAAGAGAACTAAGTATGCTGCTGAGCAGAGGCAGCACTGACGGTCTCAACATGGAACCTGTCTTATCTTCTCAGAAGGATCTTGGTGAGAAACAAATCTAAGGGTGGACAAGTAGGGGGTTTGTAATCATCAGAATTCAGACCTGAGCTTATAGCAATGCTATTCCTTTGGAGGACCAGCCCCAAGCAGCAGATTCTCTGCGTCTAGCCATGCACTAGGGCAATCCATTTAGCCCTCAGAGCCAGTATTCCACTTGATAGTCATTCTTACATGCGTGCTATGTGATATGGAGAAACAGTGAAAGCCTTCTGGAACAGAAAGTAGTGGAAGATCAGATAACCTAGGTAAAGAAAAAGTAGTTTAAGCCGTACCTGCTGTATTGCATGCATTCAGTGTCATCATTTTAATTTCCTATTTGTTTTGTTTCTGATATCAAAGTCATGATAACTAGGTAGGATGAGATAGGCTGAAATATTTTTTTAAATCAAATTTCTCTCCATAAGTTTCTTCTTTTGAACAATGAAACTTTACTTTCATTGTAGAAAACAACTTACATTCAATTTTTCACCAAAAAGTGTACATGTTCCTGCTGTCATTAAATTTGAAGTTGTAGGACTGTTATATTTATAACACTGCAGTTTGGTTGAATGAGAGAAATAGATGAGTATCATAGATTCGAGGATATGAGATATGATTCTGTCATTCATAACTAAAGTCATTCTGGGTGTATAACATAATCTCATTGTGTCCTGCTTGGTTTGAAATACAAAATAAAATGTGTGTGGAAAGGAATGCCATATCTATACAACTGATTCACTTTATTTCTAGCAAAATGAACTTCAGAGCCTGAATATGTATGAAGTGTGCAGATCAACAGATAGAAAAAGTATTTTTCAGATGGACAATATTATGTGTTAGTAATCAACAGTTAAACAAAAGGAAATCGCATATAATCAGTTTAACAATTATTTGAACATGTTTTGCATGTTTAAATGACAGAATTATATTTCTTATCCTCGAATCTATGCCATACATTGTTTAAGCATGTATTGCAATCCAATACTTTGCCCTAGTTGAAGCCAAATGGTAACTTGAATTCTTCTAATACATTTCCTTCTTGGTAGGAATTGAACATTTTGTGAGACACAGCATAAAGTAGTTAAATAGGCAGATCCTGGAGACAAACAGTCTGGGTGTGAATCCTAGCCCTCCTCCTTACTAGCTGTGTAAACATGAGCAATTCATTTAATATTTCCATACTTCATTTTCCTCTTCCATAATTAAAATAATACCTGCCTCATTCAGTCATTGTGAGGATTAAATGAGTTAATAGAAGCATGTTAGCATTGATTAAATGCTATACAAGTTTGCTATTATAATACAGGGCAATATATTATATTGACAATTTTTACTGAATTTTCGAATCAGCACATGGGTGTTTATATTCTGTCTCTAAGGATACCTGTATTATTTTTTTGTTTTCAGATCTTGGATAGGTAATCAGACTCTTGAGGCTCAATTTTCTTATCTGTAAAATAAGCGTAATGATAGGATCTACGTAAATTAAATGAGAGTAAATAAATTCTGATACATATGCTTGATAAATCTAATCATCATCTTTAATTTTTATTTACACATAAAATAATTTTGCCACATGAATATAGTTTATAATCCTTGACCAAATTCAGTATATATTAAAATTGCTTTGTTACAGATGTATAGGCCAGGAAGAAGTAATATAATATATTCCAGATTCAGTATTAAAAATGCATTATTGAGCATCTGTTTTACAGTTCAGTGTTCTCCCTTGTCAGGACAAAATCCTGAACTACGTCAAAAAACCAAACATGACAACCTTAATAGAAATGAATTATGTAGCACAGGAAATTCTTCCTACTGTTGAAAGATACCATTGTTTTTAAAGGAAAGCAATATTTGCCCTTTTTTATAATTGAAGTGTAGTCAGTTTACAATGTGTTAATTTCTGGTGTACAGCATAATGATTCCTTTATACATGTGTATATATATATTCCTTTTCATATTCTTTTCATTACAGGCTATTATAAGATATTGAGTATAGTTCCCTGTGCTACATAGTAGAGCTTATTATTTATCTATTTTATACATAGTAGTTAGTATCTACAAATCCCAACTCCCAGTTTATCCCTCCACCCCTTGCTTCCCCCCAGTAACCATAAATTTGTTTTCTATCTCTGTGCATGTGTTTCTGTTTTGTAAATAAATTTATTTGTGTCACTTTTTTTAGATTTCACATATAAGTGATATCATATGGTATTTTTTTTTCTCTTTCTGGCTTATTTCACTTAGTATGACAATCTCCAGGTCCATCCATGTTTCTGCAAATGGCATTATTTTTAGTCCTTTTTATGGCTGAGTAATATTCCATTACACACACACACACACACACACCCCCATAACTTCTTTATCCAATCATCTGTTGAAGGACACTTAGGTTGCTTCTGTGTCTTGGCTATTGTAAATAGTGTGGCTGTGAATGTTGGGATGCATGTATCTTTTCAAATTAGAGTTTACTCTGGATGTATGCCCAAGAATGGATTGCTGAATCACAGGGTGAGTCTGTTTTCAGTTCTTTTAAGGAATCTCCATACTGTTTTCCATAATGGCTGCACCAGACTACATTGCTACTAAAGTGTTAGGAGGGTTTCCTTTTCTCCACACCCTCCCCAGCATATATCATTTGTGGACTTTTGAATGATGGCCATTGTGATTGGTGTGAGGTGATACCTCATTGTAGTTTTGATTTGCATTTCTCTGATAATTAGTGAGCATTTTTTCTTGTGCCTATTGGCCATTTGTATGTCTTCATGGACAGATTTCTATTTAGGTCTTCTAACCAGTTTTTGATTGGGTTGTTAGGGTCTTTTGTTTTGTTTGTTTTTTGATATTAAGCTACATAAGCTGTTTGTATATTTTAGAAATTAAGCCCTTGTCAGTCGCATCTTTTGTAAATATTTTCTCCCACTCCGAATGCTGTCGTCTCGTTTTGTTTATGGTTTCTTTTACTGTGCAAAAACTTATATGTTTAATTAGGTTGTATTTGTTTATTTTCACTTCTATTTCTATTGCCTTGGGAGACTGACCTAAGAAAACATTGGTACAATTTATATCAGAGAATGTTTTGCCTTTATTTCCTTCTAGGAGGTTTATAATGTCTTATGTTTAAGTCTTTAAGCCATTTTGTGTTTGTTTTTGTGTATGGTATGAGGGAGTGTTCTAACTTCATTAATTTGCATGTGACTATCCAGTTTTCCCAATACCATTTGCTGAAGAGGATGTCTTTTGTCCATTGTCTATTCTTGCCTCCTTTGTGGAAGATTAATTGACTGTAGGTGTATTGGTTTATTTCTGGGCAATATTTGCCCTTTGACTGACATAATTACATCTAAGTCACAAAGTGATCAGAAATTAAAGCTTTATTGAAACTTGAAAATTTACTGCTTTTCTGCTTTTTTTTTAAGCCAAATGCGCATACTCCATGAAACAAAATAAAAAACCTCATAGCCTAATTTTAAATTTATCATCACCAGTATCATAACATATATAAGCAAAGTGAGAGTGATTAGGGGACTCTATATATTCATTCAAGGAACTGAAGGAAGAAGTATTTCCTCTCAATTTATAAAATACAAATTATGAAATGACTACAAATTTGGTGGTGTTTATTGCTCTGTCCTTTGAACATATTTTACTTGTACTTTTCTTTTGCTTTGCCTGCTTTTATATTTTCATATTATACTTGGCTCCTCATGAATTATGGAATCACTTTTGAGAAATTCAGAAGTGAGTTAACCATGACCTGCCATCTGCCCTTTTTCTCCTGGGCACACAAACTAAGGCTATATTCTTGACTTCTCTTGTAGATTGTTGTGACCATGTGATCAAGCATTCTCCAGTGGTATGTGAGAGAAAGTGATATGCATGTTTCCAGGTCCATCCTGTAAAAATCGCCCAAAAGCTCTCCTTCATGCTTTTCTCCTTTCTTTCTACCCTAAATAGGAACTCCTAGAGTACCCCTACTCTATCTTCAAGCTTGATCATTGACTTGGAATGTCCCTAGACAGTTGCATGAGAATAAGACTCTCTTGAATCATTACACATTTAGTTACATCGTCTATAGCCCAGTTCATCCTACCTAATGGAAAAATGATGATTTTGAAATGGAATGCTGCTGTGAAAAATTGAAATGTGTTAAAACATAAATTTTTGCTCTAACAAAAAAAAATGGAGGTCATGTATAAGATGCAGATAAAAGTATATACAGCAAGGGGCAGAAGTGGAAATGTGGACTATATGATGGCAAAACATTTTGAAAGTGCTTGCCTGCAATGACTGGAAGGTAAACCAATGTCTACTGAATCTGTAACTCTAGGAGGAGTGAGGAGAAAAAGTAAGCATGTTAATAAATGCGTAACTGTTATTTGCTGCACTGCATTGTATTTTGAGAAACTGCTGAGCCCAGGCAAGAATTAGCTGCTTTTAAACAGAGATTGAAAAGAACAGAGAAGCTGGATTAAAAGCATCATAGGGTTGAAAAATAAAACTGCTCTGAACTCTTTACAGTAGGAGATAAGACTGAGAAAGGCTCTAAGAACCAAAGACATAATCAAAGGGCTTCAGCTTGAGCAAAATCAGCTTGAGAGGGGTTGTCTTCTCATTCACTCCTGTTGTTTCAGATGGCCTTAAAGAATTATCAGAGAGAGAGAGTGAAAGAGAGCATGAGCAGGGTGGGGGTTAGGGAGAAGGAAGGAAGGATAACAGAAAGATAAGAAAGAAGGGAGGAAGGGAGGGAAGGAAGAAGGAAGGAAAGAAGGAAGAAGCAGCAGGGTGTGTGGAGGCAGAGGAAGAACAAAGAAATAAAGCCAACTTAATAGAGCTGAATTAAAACTACAGCTAGGAAAAAAACTTTGGCTTATTTAGAATACAAAAATGACTGGAACATGGAACTTATCAGAAGCATATTCATTTTTAATGGAATTGTATTACTTCAGAAACCACTAAATCTATAAAATCATTAGCAATTTGGGAATTTCAGTGACATGGATGTAGGGATTTTAACATTATTCTTGCAACTTTTCTGTGAATCTGATATTGTATTAAAATGAAAAGTCAAAAAGAAGCCCTCATCTGCCAATAAGAGAAGAATATGTGATCATCAACCAATGAATGCCAGGCATTTCACCACAGGAAAATAGCTGTTCAAACTGTGAAGTTTCCAAGTAGGTCATCCTTGACCCCACCTACTTTCCAGTGTGGCTATTGAAGATGTGATATTGTGATTTATAGTAAGAAATATATATTGGATCTCTTCCTCATTTCTGGCACAGAGCTCCTAAAACCCTAGGAATTTCCTAGCTGATGGGAGAGAAAGATGTCTTTTGTCATGTTGAGGAGGTGACTTTTAGACTACACCTAAGGGTGAGGGCTGATTGCCTGGAGAACCAACCATATGATTAGAGGGTTGGAAATTTCACCTTAACCTCATCTTGCTTCCAGGCTGGAGACTGAGTTCATTCACCAATGGCTAGTGATTTAATCAGCCATGCCTATAGGATGAAGCCTCTATAAAAACCCAAAAGGATGGTTTTCTGAGAGCTTCTGGGTTGGGAATATGATCCCCAGAGCTATCTTGGAAACTGTAGACATGTTCGAGAACTTGCCCTCAGTTTTGATTTTCAAATGATTTTGGTGTAGAGACACTTCTTGTACCCTGTAAACTTGGAAATTCCATGATTTATGGGAGCAAGAAATAACTTTTCTCTGTGCTGATCTCTTACATATTTGGGTCCAGTTGTTTTTTAGCCTATCCTACACCAGTTTTTTAAAAAAGGATAAAATCTATAATATCTAACTGAAACTGTAAAGATCCAAGAAATACATTAATCTAACTTTATCTCAACTGTTGTAGGGGATAATTTAAAATAGTTTGTCTTTGTCCTAATTGAAAAAAAAAAAAAGAAAAGTTGAAAGGTATCTCCAAATTAATTTATGACTGTATCTAGAATGAGCAGAAAACACTTACGACTTGTCACTTTGCTATTGTATTCTAAGGTACTAAAGCGTTAGAAGTCTATTATGATGTCATTTAAAAATAAATTCTTTTTCACTATTGAATCTTCAGTATCCTTGGAAGCAAATTTGTGTTACTGTAATTCAGAATATATAGTAGCAAAAAATTTTTGCAAAAAACAACAATCACAACAAAAAAGCAATACAAAGTTTACCATTCATATTTATTCCAGCTAGAAACACTTTTCCTTTATTAAACTTCATTATAGAAAATCAGTAACATGGAAGGGAGATAGGTGTACCCAAATATTAAATATTATTCTAATATGAAAATAAAAGTATTGAAAATTAGTAGTTTTATGTCACCACTTACACTTTGTATAATTTTAATTTCTGTTATGTTAAAATTGTGTTCGTGGAAACTCTTTACATTTCCCATTATATTTTAGGTGATCTAAGTTGGACTCTCAATTGCCAGTTTGTTTTTTTTTTTTAGACTCATTTTCTCTTTCTTCTTACAGGAAACCGGAAAGTAAAATAGGAAACATAGCGTTCTGATAAAAAAACAGTAGGCATCTTGTGCTGAGGTAAGTGCAAGCAGTAATTCTGCATTGCAGTTATTACTACAGAATCAATAAGTATGGAACTAGAAAACAAATGAATCTTGCTGAAGGTTTAATCAACCAACAATCTATGGTAGTGCCCTTCTGTGAAACAATGTCATTTTATAAAGAATTTATTAACTTGACTTTTATTTTTGAATCAGTGCATTCAAAAGTAGTACCACTATTAAATTATTATCCTCTGCTAATTTCTACATAGATTGTGTTCTAAAAGTACAACTGGGAATGAGAGGAAGACAAAATGCTTCAAGAAGGGGCCAGATTTTTCCAAAATAAAATATTTATTAAATGTTACAATTAGAGCTGTTACTCTTCTAAACAATTAAAGTGTGATAAATTATGTAATAAAATGCATGTCCTAGAGGTTTACAACATGTTCTTTTTAAAAAATGATAAAACTAATGCATATTCATCCCAGGAGGGCAAAAAGAAGAAAATAAAGTATACCTATCTTCTACCAAAGAATAATCTATTTTCTGTGTAACTCATTTCTTTCTTTCTTTTCTTTCTTTCTTTCTTTTTTCTTTTTTTTTTTTTAGGTGGGGGGAGGTAATTAGGTTTATTTGTTCATCCTTGGAGGAGGTACTGGGCATTTCTTGCTTGCTTGCTTGCTTACTTGCTTTCTTGCTTTCTGTCTGTATCATCTGTCTTATCTGTCCTTTCAGACTTTCTCGCCCTTGTGTGTGTATACACGCTATATGTGTTTCTTTGTTTTTCTTTATTTTTATCAAATTGAATTATACAATTTTATTTTCTCCTTTATGCACTTCACATATATTGTGAACTTTTTATATCATTAAGTATTCATGTAAAACATAGTTTTATATAGCTTTATAGAATTCTTTTTATATATGTACTATGTAGTCATCTGTTTACCTATAGTCAAAGATTTACTGTTTCCAATTTTATCTGTTACTAATAGCTTTTCTATAAATACCTTTTCTTCACAACCCTGTAGCCCAATTTTTAACTCTCTTGTTATTATCAGTTCTTACAGATGAAATTCTTTGGTCACAAAGTAGCAGCCTCTTTTTAAAGGCTCTTGCTGTTAACTGCCAAAATAATTTCAAACTAGATGTGCTAATTTAATTCCAACCTACAATGCCTAGAAGGATATGTTCACTGTACCCTAGCCAAGTATTATTCTCATTATTAAAATGCTTGATAATTGATCAAACTGTATCTTATTACTATTTAATTGAATTTTTAACTCGTAGATTATATTCAATACATTTTCATATGTTTAGCCATTACTTGTATTTCTTATTTACAATTTACATTTTTACATTAATGGTATAAACCAGAATGATGTTGAAAAGTAGAATACTGGACATTTTTTCTCTTTGTTTCTGAATGTAATGGAACTGCCCTAGCTGTTTAGGTGTAAAGTGTGGTGGTGACTAAAATCATGGGGTTTTAAACATGGCCTTTAACTGAAGAGCAAAGGAAAAATAGTGTGTTTATTTTACCTGTTTTTCATTTAGTTGTTTTGCTCTGCTTTTCACTGCCTCATTTGTTTCAAAGGAAACTGTTTCAAATAATAATTTATTTGAAATTAAAATTGTCTTTGTAATATATAACTATATATAACAAAGTACCATCAGAAATATTTTTCCTCACTAAAAATATATCTTTGGTTTAATAAAACAAAAATTATATAAGTTAGACCTTAATAAACTGGAGTGTGAAATTACTCATCTACAGGCTGCACCATTTAAAATTTCATTACCAGTTTTAAAGGTCTGGATATGCAAATTGATTTTGTAAATTTTAAAGAGGATAATTTTTAATCTACCTAAAATAAACTATTTTTAAGAATTTTGGAAATACAATTTACATGCAAATATATTATGTGCTAAGTTCAGCTATTTCTTGTCTGTTTAATAAGCAAGTCTGACGAAAGAAGCCTACTCAGCAACAGTTAGCTGCTAGTTTGGTGCACGCTACTGATTGTATTTCTAAATCAATTATGCAACAAACATGATGGAATGTATGCAAGTAAGTATTATCTTCTTCAGTACTGTCATTCTGAAACTTTTTATGCCGACTCTAATAATACTACCACTGTTTAAAACCTTTTAAAATCTCCTGTGCCACTGTCTTCACTTGTTCTAAAATACTCTTTTGAATATCTTTATTAGCTGCAATTATATTTTGATTGTGTAAATCACAAAACTTTTCGGAGCCAAGCAGTTATATCAGGATGTATGGGTGTTCAGTTCAAATACTGTTGTACAAAACGTGCCACATGAGCAAATGGCTTTTTGATGAAAACCACTGTTATTGGCCATTCATGTATGCTTCCCTAGTTTCTATCAAATATAATCTTTCAGATTCCTCAAATTTTAATATAAAAAGCTCAACTTGTTAACCCTTTTCAGCTTTTTTGGTGGTATAATTGACAAATAGGAATTGGAAATATTTAAGGTGTACAACTTTATGATTTGATACATGTACATATTGCAAAAGATCACAATTAAGCTAATTAATATATCCATCACCTTACGTAGTTACTCTTTAGCAAATTTCAAGAGCATAGCACAGTACTGTTAATATTTACTGTGTGTCATTAAATCTCCACAACTTACTCATCTTGCATAACTGAAACTTTGTACCCTTTTGACCAACCTCTCCCATTCTCCCCAATCCCCCACCTCTGGCAAACTCCATTCTACTTTCTGCTTTTATGAGTTTGACTATTTTAGATTCCACGTATATGCAAGATCATGCAGTGTTTTTCTGTGTCTGGCTTATTTCACTTAGTGTAATGTCCTTAGGGTTTATCCATGTTGTCACAAATGGAAGAATTTTCTTCTTTTTTAAGGTTGAATAATTTTCTACATATATGTATCACACGCACATATCTATCACATTTTATTTGTCCATCCAGTTTTGCTATGTGGATAATGCTGCTATGGAGCAAGAGAGCGCAGGTATCTTTTTGAGATTCTGATTTTGATTCTTTTGCATATATACCCAGAAGTGGGATTGTTGGATAATACTGTAGTTCATTTTTTAAAATTTGAGGAAACATCATACTGTTTTTTATAGCACCGTTTTCAAAGCACTGTTTTCTTGCACCATTTTGCATTCCCATCAACAGTGTACGAGGGTTCCAATTTCTCTACATCTCACCAACACTTATCTTTGTGTTTTTAATAACAGCCACCCTAACAGATGTGAGGTGATATCTCATTTTAGTTTTGATTTGCAGATCCAGCATATCTTGATCCTTGTTTCTGCTTTGTGTTTAAAACACATATTGCGATCTTAGAAAAAACTTTGTTCTTACTCAAATAAATTAACTTCTACATGTTTACATTCCATTTTTTTCTGCCAAATTTAGTTTAAAAATATAAGGGAACATAGTTTGAAAAGTGAAATAAAATAGGATATGGTTCTTTTTCTAGTGGATATAGAAGTATCTGGCTATAATTAACTAAAAAGTTGTCTTTATGTAATTTACTGATTTGGCAGCAACATTTAAAATATACTGATATTTTAAATGATGAAATTAATTACCAGTTAATTACCAATTACCTACTCAGACATATAAGCAGAGCTAAAGATTTGAAAAGTGGCCTTAGGAAGGTGCAGATTGGAAATTGCTCATCATTCAATAATCTCTTGCTCCTTAGCTTGGATAACCTTACATAATGATGCCTCATCAGGAAGATAAGGCTATGTTATTCTGACAGGGAAGAACACATATTTGGACTGTTTTTTGTATTTTCCCCACCTTTAATCTAATAAAAAGGTTAATACTAACATGTAAAGAATATCAAGTGGAATCGTCAAAGAACACTGATGGTCTTGATAATACCAGAGTAGTGGAGTCTTCAGTGAGAACAACAATTGGTTAGTTATTTCCCATAATCAACCATTACAGTATTAGTGTTTTCCAGGACTCAGTCATGTTTTTTTCCCCGATTTTTATCTTCTATATTTTACATGGAAGCTCTTTTCCATTTCTGTAGTCTCCATCTAATTATTATTGACTTTAGACTTCATCTCCAGAGTTAACCTTTCATGCAAACTCCAGACTTCTGAATCAGACTTTCTATTGGATATCTTCACAAGAACGTTCCTTCATAACAGTGTGTCTAAAACTCAGCATTTTTTTCAAATTGTTTTTTATTGCCTTTGCCTCTGCCACAGACTAGGTATTTCTCATTATCCATTATCCAAAATTTGCCTATGTAATTGTTGCAGTTATCTCTTAACTAGTTGCCCTGCTTCTTGTTCTGTAACCAAGTTAATATCTATACTTAGTTATGTTTCTGATACACAGATAAAATTGTGCCATTTCTGTGCTTGAATTGTTGAAGTGGCCCCTTAGCTCAATTTGACAAATTAGAAATTCATGACATACTATAGCGAGCTATCTCAACTCAGCCCTCTGTACTCCCACTTTATCAGAAGAGTTGCTCTGGTCTAAACTTACCAGCTTTCTCGTGCCACTTTGCTTTTGTGCATGCCTTTCTTCTGCCTAAAGAGCTCTACAATGCTTTTCTTACAAGAAAAGCAAGAATTTTTTTAAGACTCAGTCAAAACTCATTAGTAAAGTCACCTTTGACTTACCATAGTAAACTTACGCTCCCTTTCCATGCACCAAGGTTGCCATTAATTGGACTAGAGCAACTTACTAACTTAAGTTTTGATTTCTCAATTTTCTCTTCTCTAGATTTAAGCTATCTTGAAGTGAAAGATCATGTTTTGTTATCTTACATTTGCATCAGTAAGCATAGTGCTTAGCCTGTGGCAGAATCTAGTTCAGTGATACCCATTCTCTTTGAGGGCCACGGTAGAGTTGGATATGTTCGCATAGTGGGTGGGGTCTGATTCACACAGATAGATTCAGTTTCAGGAAGTGCCCATCTAGCTGCTTTGCATGTTGATCTATAGCTTAATTTCTTGGGGAAAAAAGGCTATTAAAATTTTTTAAATGATAGAAAAGAAACAAGGTTTGGAGTGAAACAAATTTTGCTGTAACTGTTTCTCTAGCATGATGAAATTATTTGTCCTTGGGCAAGTTACTGAATATTGAGTCGTTAAAATAAGACTCACCATCTATATACTGCATAATTATTGTGAAAAGTAAAATGAAGTAAGATAATGTTTTTATCATAAGCTCATCGTTGTATAGCTTATTCATTCTTGTATTAAATGATACTTTAAAATAGAACCAACCATACAAGTTGAATGAATACATTTACATATAAGAAATTTGCATTTATAGGTACTAAGAATCATACTGTACAGTTTCTCAGTATTTTTTGAACATTAATGTCACTACAGAGGTCTAAGAAAAAATTAGTCTCTCTTTGAATATGTAAGCAAATTTGAATGGTGTATTTACTGTAGAATTTTTCAGTGTCATTTAAAACATATTAATGCACAATATTCTGCGAGTCTCTAATATGGGGCATTGCATGGAGCATTTTCCCAAGCTATTTCACTACAGAATTTTTCCCACTTATTTTTCATGGGACTGCTTTTCACATCTCACAGAACATTTTTCTTTGACTTAGTCATTAAGATTGAGTTTAGAAAGTCATATTTAACCCCATAATTTATCTTTTAGTGAGATATAAAATTCAATATTCCACACTGAGTAGTATAGAAACATAAAAGAGTTTAAGTAACATTCCTGGCCATTTTCCTAACACTGCACAGTAAAACTTTCTTAGACAATTAAAATGATCTATAAGCTGTGCTGTTCAATACTGAAACCACTAGCATCATGCAGCTATTAATAACTTGAAATGTGTGTATCACGATCAAAGAACTGAATTATTATTTCATCCAATTTTAATTGATTTGAATTTAAATTTGAATAGGTATATGTGGCTGGTGACTTTTTATTAGACACCTCAGTTCTAAGCAGTTATTCTGTTGTGGACAATTACACCTTACCTGTCGTAAGTGGTATGGATTAATTTTCCTCACTTTAACCTGAAAGTTGAATCATCTCCCAGTTTTTCTTAGTAACTTTTTATAGTTCTTTCACTCATCAATTTGATGAAAGTCATTTTTGAATCCAGTTTAATTTCCTGCCATTGCCACTTCTTGGAACAAATAGTTCTTTAAGTTTATTATCCACTAAGACTATGAACTTCCTGATCTTTATTGTAAGATAACTTTGAGTTAGACAAAGAGTTAGACAAAAAAATCTATTGGTAGTTTATCTGTTATATTCATGTCTACAAAAAGTTTGATCCTATTTCTTCTATACCTTTACCTTTTGAATTAAATGATTAACATCATGTGAATTATTATGTGAGTCTACATAACGTTCTAGAAGCACATTGTTTTATATTGATTCAGGACATTGTACTTTGGGTTGTGTCTATCACTGTCATTAAAATGCATAAGAATTTGTTAAACATTTTGGTTATCCCAAGACAGGGTTAATAGCCTGGGAGCGGAAGAAGGATGGCAAGTAAAAAATATAAGTATCAATAAAATATTCTATTATTATCTCTCTTCTTTTCTAGGTTATAGATAATTACACATAATTGAATTTTGAGTTTTGTGCCTTTATTATCTTTCCTTTGAGCTTCCCTACTCCAGATTGTGGCTTCTACTTTTCTGCTTATTTGTACTGAACTGTGAGACCTTATGCTTTATTTCATTAGTGTCTTCACTTATTGAAAAAGTCTGATATGATCCAGCAACTTGAAGATTTCGAATCTTAGAGACTTATTGATTGAAAGGATTATGATACACCCTGATCTCCATCTTCAATCCCAAATAAGAGCAATAGAAAAATACTAAATGGCTCTGCCAAAGTTTAAATTTCCTCTGATTTTTTCACAATCATTCAGTAAACCTTTAAAAGTCGTTGAGAGAAGTTTTATAATGTAAAAAAGTCTAAGTAGGTTATGTTGACCCCCTTCCCTATAATCATTTCTTCTCTCTAACAACTATAATAAATTAATCCAACACAGTTTACTCAGATTTTGCCAAGGATATATTCCTTTTTGTCAGACTCATAACCAATCTAAAAGCCATCTGTGCCTGGTTCTCCTCTTTTTCTAGGCACATTCCCAACCCCTTGGAGTTAGGCACCAACAAGTGACTCATTATGTCCGAGGTGTTTCAGAGTTCATGTTTTGCTTGCATCTTGCAGTTATCTCTAACGTTAGAATTATTGATATATTTTGATACTGAGTAATATCTCTGATTTTGAGAGTCTCATTTAACTCTCCTACCCTGTGTGTCATTTCAGTTAAAAAACAAAGAGTTAAACACCTTGCTAGGTATGTTCAGCTTTAGTGGATAATGCCAAACAATTTTCAAAAAATTGTTTTATCATCTCACAGTCTCATGAGCAGTTCATAAGAGTTCCACTTATTACACATGCTCAACAACACTTAGTGTTCTCAGTTAAAAGAATTAATCAATCTAGCCAAGTTGCAGAGGTATGGCATTTTGGTTATAATTTATATATCTGCAAACTTGTCTGTGATTTGATACCCTCTTTTGAGAATTACCTAAGTCATTTTCCTTTTTTTAAACTGTGATGTCTGTCTTTTTCCAATTAATTTTATAGATTTTTAGAAATATTTATGGATATGTATCTATTGTGGAATGCAGGTACTGAAAGTATCTTCTCCTAGTTTATGGAGTCCTTTTCTACTCTCTTAATGGTATCTTTTGATAATTTTAATGAAGTCCAATTAGACATCGCTTTTACCTTATGGTTAGTGTTTTCAGTACCTTTTTAAGAAATCTTCAACTACTCCAAAGTCATAAAGATTTTCTCTTATAATAAATTATTCTTTTCTAATTTATACGTCTAAATCCTGCATTATTTTTATCCCAGTTTGGAATGTGATTTAGTTTCCATTATCACTCATTCCATATCATATCATTCCACGCTAAGTATTATAGTAATTAGGGGTTTAATGTAGATATTAGAAGCTACATGGATATGGGAAGAGATGCGGCAGTGAAAGCACAGAAGGCTGCAATTGGAGTATAGAAGAAATAGTCACTAAATGTCTTCCATTGGAATATCTAGATATATTGGAGAAACTGAAACTTGAAGGGATAAAAAGGCTTCCCATTTAGCTGCTAAATTAGCACTTTAAAGAGAAGTGCATAGAGAGATCTGTGATTACTGCTATAAAGGTAAAGTAAAGCTTATATGAGAGTTTCCAGAAAAAAAGATTTCTGCAACATTTTCCCATTGCCCTCAGTAAGCACTGTAGCTGATCAAGGTTCTTTGGCTGGTAAAGTGACCCCACCCCAAACTTTTATTTTTATAGAGCCTGAGCCATTAAGAGTTATTTTGGAGCCATTAGGACTCCTATTTGTGTTGGTTATTGCAGTTTTATATTAAATTAACCACATGACATCAGAGTACTAGAAGACTCCTCAGAAAGTGGGTTCCAGACACGTTCCTCCCTGCTTACATTGTGTATTGGAACCCAGTTTCCTCTTGGTATTCCCCCATTCAGTGTAGAGAGAGACTCAGCTGGGTGCCTTTAGCCGTCAGCACCCCAACTAGTGAGGGCACGAGTGCTTCAGTCCAGAAGGAGTGATCTGGGTGCCACACACATCATCTGTTGCTGTCCATCTCTTATGCTGCTCTGATCTACTCATTTTGTATCATAAGTTCTGTGAGAAGCTCTGCTATGATTATGATTGGTCTCTTTTCTTGGGGAAAAAGTGGAAGATTACTAAGAAGAACTACAATCCCCTCTGCATCTGGTCCCAGGAGTGAAAGTGATATGTGTTGTCTTCATTCTCTGCTGTCCATCTGAGATTCCCTCTTTTTGGATAGTGCTTCTGCCAGTAGAGGTTACCTACTGAGATCCTTATCTCTTAGAAGTCTTGACATCTTCTCAAGTCATAGCTATTGCACTTGGCCATTTACCTTCAAAAATGGATAAACTGATATCAAAATACATGCAAATGGTTGGCCTAGGTATCAAACATAATCCTTTCCATACCTATATCTAATAACAGCTCTACCTCCTCATGATGATTTGGGTCAGTTGTATCTTCCAGGCTGATAATTCCTTTCCTTGCCTGTTGTCTCTTAATATAAGGAGCCTTTAAGTGGCCAGGTAATAACCATAATTTAAGTTTAGTGGGACTCTTCCTGTTTCCCTTAGGGAAATATTTGTCTCTGGCAACCTGGACATCTACACACATGTTGCCATGGGGACAGGAAGTGCAAGTTTCCCAGTAAAGACATTGCATTTGATACTAACTAAGGCCACTATGACTTTTATCCTTGTTAACCAAACCCGTGTTTCATCCTATCTGTTAAAGGCACAGAAACAGTAAATGGTCATTGATTTAGCATAAAAGTGAATATTGAAAAAGGTCTCCCCATCTTTGTAAGCTATCATGTCCAAGCTGACGTGTTTCAGTTATACCTTCAGAAGATATTTCCTTCACTCTTCAGGTCAGCAGCATCTAGGCAGTGAGATGGATAATAGGACCAGTGGATCCCATGTATATTAAATTTCATACCTTCTTTTCTGTAAAATGCAGTTATGTTATGTGGGGTCGTGGGTAAGTGGATCATGCTAGATGTGATTCTGTCTGAGGCCTCACAGGGAGTAAAGCATACCCTATTGGATGTGTATATATATATTCCGCTCAAGATGAATCACTGCCCTTTGCAGTATGAAAGGAATCCAATGTAATTAACTTGCCCTCAAGTAATAGATTGTCTCTTCAAGGGATAGCATTATAGTAGGAACTTGGAATTAGTCTCTATTACTGACTTCAGCAGCAGCAGTACATAAGTAAATTTTGGAGATTGAAGTCCGTACAGTCGGATCCATATGTAGAATTTATTACTGTCTCCATGGCCACTGCATTTATAAGCCCATTCGCCCAGTCCTAGGGTGGACTATGACAGAGGCTGACTGTTACTGACTGACTTAGTTTAATGTACCCTCTAAACTGGGTGTTTTCATGTAATATGAAACTCTTCAATTTGTGCCCTTTTTTCATAGTGCCTGTGCATCTTCCCAAGATGTCCTTGTTCCCTGTCTTCCAATATTTCTCCTTCCAGCTTCTCTTCAGTCAGTCAAGCCATTTGACACTGCCCATGAGTCCTCTGACTCCTAAAGATGAGAGTCAACGTACATGTTGGAAGCCCTTTAGCTTTCAAACTAATACTTTAATTGGTGAGTAGTTCTACCGTTTTTCTTTCATCAACTTTCTTCAGTGCATTAGAAGCACCTACAGAAAGCCATTCAATTCCATAGATATTATAATTTTTACTTCCCAAACTTCTTAAATGCCAGTTTATTGCCCCAACCATAAATCATAAAACTGCTAGAAGAAAACAGTAACATAAGCAGAACACTTTTTGACATAAACCACAGCAATATTTTATCTGTCTCCAAAGGCAAAGGAAACCAAAGCAAAAATAAACTAATAGGACCTAATTAAACTTAAAAGCTTTTACACAATAAAAGAAACCAACAAGAAAAACAACCTACTGAATGGGAGAAAATATTTGCAAATGATATGACCCTTAAGGGATTAATACCGAAATATACAAAGAACTCATACAACTCAATATAAAAAAAAATGAACAACCCTATTAAAATATAAGCAAACACCTGAACATTTTTCCAAAGAAGGTATACAGATGGCCAGTAGTCACGTGAAAAGATGCTCAGCATAGCTAACCATCAGAGTAATACAAATTAAAAGCACAATGAGATATCATCTCACACCTCTTAGAATGACTGTTGTCAAAAAAAGCACAAATAACAAATGTTGGTGAGGATGTGGAAAAAAGGGAGCCTTTGTACACTGTTGGTAAGAATATAAATTGGTGCATGTATAAACTGTGTCATCTCATCCACCTGATTATGCAATGCCTTCTCTGCAGTGATGCCTTTCGGTGAATATTCATGTGGGAAACAAATATTTTCATAGATTGCCCATTTTGAGCAGTATACCATCATGCTCCTACTCTAGGCTTCCTGTTCTCAATGTTCTGAACATATTCAATCCATTTTCCTGACTAATTTTTTTAAAAGTTAAATACTATCATAAATCGGTACATGTATATTTTTATTTAATTATCTTTGTATCAAAAGTGGACAAACAGAAATCACCTTGTATTTTATCCACTTGTAGGTTCTCTCTTCACTACTGTATTTCTTTGTCATGTAGAAGGTATATGGTGGCAGCATATTATGTATGATCATCTGTACATCAGGCCTGATGTTTTTTGCTCAATAGACTTGTCATGAAGAACTCTCCATGGACCCATCAGTGTAAAAAAGGTAAGGTGGCAATACCATGGAGTATGAGCCAAATGCAATTTGCTATGTCTTCTAGAACTACTCAAGTCTAATCTCACTCATACCATGTTATCATAATGGATTACTTTTATACACACCCAGTTTTATATCACAGTGAAATAGAAAGCCAGCAGTTCTAAGAAACCAAAAAAAAAATCAATTTATAATCAAAGAATTATATTTCAATTTGTAAATATTCAGGCACAACTCTACTGTAAGACATAAAAAGAGACACTGCATGTGTCCACTCTAAGTCTAAACTAATACAGTTATATTGTGGTGATGACCCAAAAATTATGAGCTAAATTGCCAGTGGTGAAGAAATTTTCTGAAATAACAAACAACTATTGGTACATTCAGAACAAAATAATGTACAATCTTCTCATGATTTATTGTCATAATTTTTCACAAATGTAGTTAGGATTTGTATGTAGTTTTTAACTTACAGTTGACTCTTGAAGGCTGGAAAAGAATTTAAAAGATAGACAATATTGGAGTTGGAAGAAGTTTAAGAAAGGAAAAGGAAAACCATTTCAAGAAACAGTTATGCTTGAGAAACAAATATTTTCAGGGCAGTGTAGTGAAGCCTCTTGTTTACCAACCTAATTCTTTTGATACAGAAATCTGTTACTTGGCTGTGTGTTTTATAAAACATCATAGTATCTTGAGTCCAAGGAGCAGATCAATTATTTAAGTCATTTATGATAATTATATTTTTCTTGCTAGGGATTAGTTTAAGATAGGGAATGGGATCATTATTAGCCATTGACAAAGTATTTGAAATTTTCTCAAGCTGGGAGTTTCCACTGGTGTGAAAAGTAGTCAGCAAGAAATATCCCTTTTTCATTTATTGGATGTTGTTAGCTCTATATGGAATTACAGCAGACATCATATAATCATGAAGAACAAGTCAAAACAAAAAGATGGAAGAAACAAGACCCTTGCTCTTGACGATGAGTATAAATTAACCAACAATGGAATATTCCTGATATATGAACTTCCTGTTTCTTCAGATAATATATCCACTTATTGTTTAAGCCATTTTAACTACAATTTCTGTATTTTGTAACTGATGTCATTCTGATATAGCAAGTGTTGAAGAGTTATTTTAGCATATTTATCTTCAGTCTAAACTAGAATCTAACATCAAAAGGTGCTTTAAAATGCATTTAAATTAACCAATAAAGGAGAATTTTTCACTACTAAACCTAAGCAATCACCCTATTTTATTAATAGGTATATGAAAAAGGCATTTTTTATTTCTTTTGTTCCCAGAAGCACTCGATAATCCACAGGGAAAAGAAGATGGTGGCCTATTCTATTTAATGTCTCTAAAATTAAATACTTTTTTGGTATAAAGATGATTGAAAAATCATCTGTACATTATTTGCAATGCATATGCAATGCTATTTTTAGAGTGTTATTAATGAAGATGACATATTAGGATTTTATCTAAGGATTTGCATAGCATTAAATAACGTTCCTGGTCATAGTTAAGATTGATTTTCTAGCTTTTTAAAGATGTTTTCTTTTAAAAAAAAGTCTACATTTCTAGCTGAATAGTATTTTGTGGTGAAAAATAAAACTTAGTGGGCTACTTTAAAATTATTTTGGGTGGCCTTATATTAATTTTCTGGTTGGTAGGGCAATCTAAAGAAATCTTGGAGGAAGATTTTTACTTTCTTAACGAGTAAAAGGAGTAAAAACTTTATGACTGTACTTGGAACTGTCTTTGATTTTGCCTACTGTAGGATGATCAGTAAGTGTTTTTTATCAAAGCAATTAGATGAATATTTACTCTAGATACTGAAAATTTTTATTGGGTCTACTGTTTACATGAAATGCTAAGCAAAGCAGGAAAAAACTGAAGAAAACTCAAGATATCCCTCAAAGAAACCTTTCACTGAAAAATTAGAAGATGGGCTTATTTCTAAGTGTAGTAACAGAGGATTCTCATGGCATAAGGAAAAGTTTTTCTGTACTGTGTAATTCCGTTCTGTTTATTCAAGAGATGTTAAAGCAATAAAGACAAGAACATGTTTTCATGCTATAATTACTAATGGTATGTGTTAATAAGTGCCAACCCCCTGTCAAATTTGGCATTGTCATTGATGCTGGCTGAATGTAGCTTAATTTTGGGGTGCCTTTCATATACTTCATATTGGGTATAATATTAATATTCCCCAAAGCACTTGGAAAGAGGTATTTTGTATGATGATTAGAGAAAACATAAGCATCAGGAGACAGATTTTTGCAAGGGACTTCTGTTTTTTGTGTGTGAATCAGGCATAAAGTTTTAAATGCATGCTTCTTGAAAATTTAGAGAATCATCTATGAGAGAAACAACTACAACAACAGCAAAATTGTCCATCTTTTCTAAGGAGACTGGGGTCTAAACATCATCAGTGCAAGATATTAATGGGCCTTCCAAAATAATAATTATTTTTAAAGCTTAGTGGGCCATCTTGTGTTAGAAATGAGGGAGACAGTATCTTGTGCACTTTAAAAATTTTTGTTTTCAAAAACAATTGATTATTGTTTTCTTGTGTCTTGCTAAAATCTTCTGTCTCTACTTCTGCAGTTAAGATAGTAAGTAGTAAACACAAATATTAAGTGAGTTCTCATAGACTACATAGGATAAATCATATGTGAGGTCTTTACTTGTTTTTAGTATTGTTTTTTCAGTTATAGTTTATAATACTTTGTGGGACCTTGTGTGATTGCTAATTGCTAAGTCAATAAAAAATAAGTAGAAATCATGTCATCCAGCTGGCATTGCCTATACATGTACGTATTATCATTGCCAGTTATTAGTTCCAACAGGAGGTTGGGAACTTCCATTTTTAACTGAAATTATTATATTTAGTATAATAATTAAAAAATATTTCTTATATATCTAAACTTCTCACTCAGTAAACAAATACTGTATAAAATATAGAAGTATGATACTTTCATATATATAAAATCTCAATCTTTCTAATCCATTTCTTAATTTTTCATTTCTCATTTTGAGTGAAAATGCTTAGAAACTGAAAATAATTGAATTAATCAAGTTCCCTCTCTTTTGATCTTGTATAATGATCTGAAATTCAGTCTTAAAAGTGCAAAGATATATCACTTTATATCATATAGATATTGAATGGTAATAAGGGAAGACTTAATAATAATAAATTTGACAAGTAGATGCAACATACATATTTCTTTGAAATATAACTTATAAAAACTGATACAAGATGAAATAGAAAATCAGGATAGTTCTACATCTATAATAAAAATGGAATTCATTATAAAAAGCTTTCCACAAAGAACTCCAGGCCTAGATGCTTTCACTGATTAACTATGCCAGACATTTAAGGAATAAATAATACCAGTTTTACACAGATTTTTCAGAAAATAAGAAGGGAACACTTTCCAACTTATTTTATGAGACCAGTGGAATCCTATTATCAAAACATGAAAAAGAGGCTGCAAATTTAAGACTATACCAAAATATAGAAAGTAGGGGTCAAGGACACTCTTCTGCCATTAAAATACTAACTAAAATCAAGTTTTACTAAAAAATGCACTTTCATAGCTTATGACATGATTAAAATTATTTAAAAAAATCTCCTGACAATATTATTCAATATGTAAAAACTTGATAAAGAAAAGAAAAAGGGGAATTTTGATAACCCTGTGTAAAAGTACAAAATCTTCATATTCTTAGTTTTTCTTTTAAATGAGCATTGAGAATTTGCAACTCTCTAACCTTAGGGAAAAAGGACAAAAACAAGGATAACCATACAATGTCATTATTTTCATATTTTAAAGTGTATAATCTGGAGCTACTTACCTGGAAGTTATTGCTGATCATTTGACAATTCAGAGAAAAACTTCCACCTTGTAATATGTGAAAAGCCTTTCCAGCAGGACAAGACCATTTAGTGTTGTTAAGGAGTACTAAGGAGAGAGCTATATACCCAGAAGTGGGAATGCTGGATCATCTGATAGCTTTGTTTTTAATTTTTGAGAAACCTCTGTTCTGTTTTCCATACTGGCTGCACCAATTTACATCCCTACTAACAATGCACAGCCGTTTTCTACAACTTCACCAACATTTGTTAATTTCTATTTTTTGATAATAGCTGTTCTAACGTATATGAGATGATATCTCATCATGGTTTTTATTTGCATTTCCTTGGTGATTAGTGATATTGAGCACATTTTCATGTCCTGTTGAAAATTTGTATATCTTCTTTGGGAAAATATCTGTTGAGTTCCTCTGTCCATTTTAAATCAGATTTTTTTTTTTTGCTATGAATTCTTTATAAATTTTGGATTTTATCCCCTTATCCAGTACATGGTTTGCACATGTATTTTCCTATTCCATACATTACCTTTTCATTTTGTTAATGGTTTCCTTTGCTGTCCACAAGTAGTTCTACTTGTTTAGTTCTCTGGAGAATATTTTAAACAGAATATTAATTAGGATATTCTTCTGGAATAGTCTTTAGGCCTATATGTATTTGTGAAATGGTGACTGTTTTGATCATAATGAACTGAATCACCAGTAAATGAGGAAATTGCGTTAAACATTTTATTTAATGGAGAGGAAGTACCTTTTATATTTTAGAAAGATTTGCCTCCAAATAACCATTATCTTTATTCTTTTGGAGTTCAAGCAAACTTTAAATTCTAACACATATACTTATGTGGCAGTTTTGGCAGTGGTAAATAAGTGATTTACTTGGCTTTTAATCTGTGAGTCAGTGTGTGTCTATATGTGTATGTGTCATGTGCTTCCATTTCCAGGTATATAGTTACTTGTTTTTTTGCAATATTAACTGTCTTTAACTATCCTAATGGTATTTAGGATAGTAATTTATTAAAAATCAACTCAAATATCCAATGTTTTAATTTGTAGCTTGGAAGGGTGACTGAACAGTTGGAGTGTCAGAGTATATTTACACTGATTTACTTTGAAGATTAGAAATAATTTTACA